ATGCCTGGCTATTAAAAAGAAAAACTCTTATCCAAATAGTGAACTCTGTGTACAATTTCTGCTCAGCCAACACTGGTGGAAGCATAAAAATGAGTGTAAAGATGGCGAGGGAGGGAGCTTTCATTTCACCTCTGCTAGCCAAACACTGGTGAGAGCAAGAAGACTGGGGGGGGTGTGGGGTGTGGAAAGGGCTGCTGGGGCTGTGGGTGATTCTTTTTGGCAAGGAAAAGCAGAGTAGTGCAAAAACAGCTCGAAAAGGGTAAAGGAGAGGCAAACTGCAGAGAGAAGACCAGCCCCAGACCTCGCTATGCCCTGAAGAGCTTGGGCCAGTGGGACAGGGCCTGACTGGGAGGTGAAGGGGAAGCTGCAGGAACTGACTCTGGGTGCTGCTTTATTTTCTTTTCCCATTGGTAGAAGCAACTGAAGAGCATCAGAGCTGGCTGGGGACAGGGACGAGGTGATCGATCACAGGCCTCGTGAGGAGGGGAGCAACTAGGGCAGGGCCAGTGATCCAAGCATGAGTGATGTTTGGTGAAGGGGGCTAAAAATCATAATCTTAATCTTGGAGCCCCGATATTTGGGCTCCCACCAGGAGCTGGGCCAGGCCAGGAGTGCTCAGGAGGAGCGAGGAGACAAGGGCTGAAGTGACCCTGGCCTGGAGGGGGACAGTGCTGCCTGACCCCAGAGCAGCTCTGCCATGGTCAGTGCCACTGTGCTCTGAGCTAGGCCGTGTTGGACACATGAGCAGCTTTCATCATATCCCAGTGAGGGCCAGAGGGTGAGAAACCTCTTGAGGTTGCTTTCTCTTTTTCCACCGGTGCTCTAACAGGGCATGTGCAAGGCACATCCTGGGCTCCCCCTGGTCCTGCAGAGCCCTGAGCTCAGCTGCACTGGGAAGAGAACCTGACCCTCCCCTGTTCCCCCTACTTCTGTTGAGACATAGGAACAGCCCCTATCATTGTAGCTGGACACGATGGGGCCCAGCCTGCTCAGAGAGATGTGGGGTTCCTTGTTCTTGCTATTTCTAATGCATTTTTGGACTCGGGCAGGTTATTTTGCAGTTTTCAGGCCACACTTTCTGTGAGATTTGACTGCCAGTTGGAAGAAGGGCTCTGCCAAAGGGAAAGGCAAAGAACTGCAGTAGTGATCCCCCCCACTGTCCATAACAGTTTATACAGTCCAAGTATATAGACTCGCTCCCTAAGGGACTCGCTTCATTACATTTGTGGCCTGCAGTGCCACTCTGGGATGGAGCTGTATCAACACGGCCCGCGTTTACTGACACCTTTTGCTGGGCTGGGGAAGGGCCTGCTCAGGGAGGGGGAGTTTTCCTCGGAAGAAGCGTGTAATCGCCGCTCGCCAGATGCCCCCCCGTGCTCCAGCCGGTATTTACTGCAAACCTGCCAAAGTAAACCAGCCCGCTGCCTTTTACTTCGCATAAACACAGCGCAGCCACGGTGGGGTGTTGCCTTCCGAAGGGCTGGAGCCGGAGCAGAGGCTGCGTCGCCGGGGGAAAGGGAGGGAGGAGAGAGGGATGAATCCTGCAGGGTACGGGGCGGCTGGCAGGAAGGATGGGTCTGGGCCCCTGGGGATGCTGGGGACAGACAGCGTGATAAGGAAATGCAGAAGTAGGATGCAAAACCCCACTTACGTTGTGCGTGTTGGCCCTGCTCACCACGCATCAGGGCTTCTCTCCGGTAAGGCACCCAGCGCATGCAGTGGGTGCAAGGGACACCTCGGGGTTTGCTGTCGGAACAGGGATTTGCGGTGTTCCCCAGGGCACGAATCCCCCCCCTCCCCGGTCGCACAGAAACATCTCCACGTACACACACACAGAGGCCGTGGAGCTCTTTCACAGCCCATCCACACATGCACACACGCCTCGGAGCTGCTCCCGCAGGCCTGGGAGAGGACGTGTGGGCCCCGAAAGTTAGGCTGCCTTTATTTTCCTCTTGCCTCCTTTTCCTCCAGCTGGCTCTTCAGGCCACCGGGAGAGAGCCAGAGCCTCTCTCCTCCCACACCTCCAACACACACACACGGGGCAGGCTCGCTGCGCGCCCCGAGCTCTCGTGTAAACGCTAAAAGTTGCTTAGGAGGGTGAAATCTGAGCAAGCGGGGCTCTCCCAGCCGCTCCACAACCAAAGGCCCATGGTCTGGCCAATTCCGCATTCCCTCCGGCCTGGATTGAACCAGGGAAAACCCAGAGAGGTGCTGGCGACAGGGGAGCTGGGGAAGGTGGGAGCCTCCCCTCTCCCCTTTAGCTCTTGTGCTCCGAGATTAGAGAGCCCTGGCCTGGCCGCTCTCCGGGGAGACAGCGGAGACCTTTCATGCCTCTTTGAAGAGCCAAGATAGCGTCGGCCTTGGTGCAAGCCCAGCCTGCAGACGGGCCGGGAGGCGCGGGGCAGCCGGCTATCTCAGCGTGCTATCACCCTGCCTCCTCTGCGACCAGCCCCATTCCCATCTCCGCCCCGCTCCCGGCCCTTTGCCATCGGCAGCACTGATCTTTCTTTTCATTTATTTTTATCTTTTTTTTTTTTTCCCTTATCCCCTCTTTCCACTTCTCTTCGCCATCTATTTCTGCGGGCCTCATTTATTTATTTCTCTGCCTCGCGTCTTTATTTCTGGCGAAGAGGCGGCTAACAAGTAGCTGGAAGCACTGGCCAATATTTAACTAAGATGGCTGGCCATCAGGTCCCTTTTGTTTGCTTGCAAATTAATCATCCAGCGCGCAGTCGGCGCCAGGGTAGATTTATCACACACAGAAGGGGGAATGAGGCGGCCGAAGGGAGACAAAGACTGTTCGCACCTTCCCGCTTTTGATCTTAGATTAGTGCAGCCTCCCTTCATAATACGAGTCTCCAGGGGGCTTCGTCGGGGAGGTCACTCGGAACCAGCGGAAGTTTGCACGCCATTAGCCAGACGCTGAAATTGGAAATCATAAGCGGCAAAACACTTTATTTTCTTCCGCGGGTGGGTGCAGAGCAGCGGCGCAAGGTGCGCGGAACAGGCGCGGAGCGCGGCAAGCGACTCCGGCCTCTACCGCGGGGCCGAGGGAGCGCACCGGCGAGGCGGGCGCGGGGGTAAGGGAGCGGTGGGGCTGGGAGCGGCTGCGACTGTCCTGGTCGGGAACCTCCTGGTCCCCGGGGCCCGGTTGAGGCAAATTGCGGCAAACTTCTAGAAGCTGCCGGGCGTTTGTTGCGGGCTCTGTTGCGGGGAAGGGATGAGGGTTCGGGAGGTCCTACCGGGCCCGAGAGCCGGTTCCGAGCAGAGGTTGGAGAGACTCGCTGCCTTGGTTGATAACTAGCTGCACAGCGCAGCCGAGCGCCGCGCGGGTAGCCAAGCTCCTGGCTTCGAGAAACACATCAGATTCCCCCCCCCCCATCCTCTTTGAACGCATTACTCCCGCTTCCTTTCCTCCCTCCTCCTCTTTTCTCCATCCAACCCCCACCCTCGACCAAAGGGGAGATATTTTGGTGAATGCAAAGCGATCCTAGACGCTGGATACTACAGGGACTTCACCAAGCTGGCGCCAAGCGCTCTTAACCATGTGCGTCAAAAATGCAATGTTAGAAGAGCTAATCACTTTAGAGGTTCCGCTCCCATCTGCGCGCAGCCAGCGCCGGGCCCCCTCGCTCCGCCGCTCCGCTCCCGGAGGATTAGCTTCCCTTCTTTAAAGCAGCATGGGGGTGTCGGGAGATCCCACAGCTACCCCCAGAGAGGCGGGGGAGGTGATGGGGAGATTACTCGGCACCCCCCAGCGCTGGGATATCCCTCCCGACACCCGTGGGCACCCCGTGCCCACCATGCCCGCAGCTCCCACGACACGCACCCACCCAGCCGCAATTCCCCTCTGCACTGTCCACACCCCCCCCCCCCCCCCCCATAAACTTCCCAAGCGGATCCTGCCTGGCTCTTTCTTCCCTCTCTGTGGGGCCGGCGCAGCCCCACGCGTGATGCCTTCCCAAGGGGGGTGGCTGGCTCCAGGAGGGCCCGGGCACTGGGGCAACCCGCGGATGGGCCCCCCCGCCCGGCGTTGCCCCGGCCCTGCCCCGGCCCGGGCGCAGGGAAAGCCGCACTTCCCGTCTCCTCCCCGCGCACCTCATGGAAGAGGAGGGGTGTGGGAGCGTAACCCTCTCAGCGCCGGTGCCAGCCGAGTGGCCTTAATCATCAGCGCCAAAGAAAGAAAGGGGGAAAAGAGGCATAATACAAAAAGAAATAAAATCCCATTTTCCAGCCGTTCTCCTTCAACCTTCCCTATGGATTAGCAGCAGCCAGGCCGGGGGTTGAGCCGAGCTACAGCCCCTGCTCTCCTCGCTGCAGCCTGCTGCCGCTCACAACAATAATAACGGCGGCCGCGGCAGCCGGAGCAGCCGGAGCCGAGCCCCGAGCCGGGGCGGGGGGGGGGACCCGCGGAGCCATCCCCCGGCCAGGCTCCCAACCCCTCCGGGAGCTCACCCCCAGATTTGTGGGGGGAAGGAAAGCTCCGGCCCCCCGGCCTAGAGGTCCTGCCTCGTTTAAAGAAACCAACTCTCCCGTTGGGGGGGAACGGGAGTTGGGGGGGATGACGAACACCAACCCCGGTGGCTGCGGGGACCGGCGGCAGCCGCGACGCGGCGGGGATGGGCGTGCAGCGCTGTGGGCCCTGCGGCCGGCCGAGGTGGGTCCGAAGCTAAGGGGGGGGGGGGGGGAGCGCACCGTGCGTCCCCCTCCGTCTGCGGGCCGAGGCAGAGCTGGGGTACGATGCTGCGGAGGAGGGGGGTACCCAAAGCCGGACCCCTCCCCACCATGCATGGAGCCCCCCCACCCCATCCCAACTCCCGGCGTGCCCTCGCCGCTTCTCCAGCGCTGCCAGCAGCCGCTGCTTGGGAAGCTCCTACCGGGGCAGGCGGGCGGAGGAGAGAGCGCTGGAAACACCCGGGCCGGCCATCGCGGGGAGCCGGGGCTGGGGGGGGGAGGCGGCCCCCAAGAGCACCCCCACCCCCCCCCCCCCGAGAGGCGGGTGCTGCCGGCCGCCCTCCCCGGCGCTGCCTGCGCCCTCCCCTCTGATCATGTTGACATATTCACACGGCCCGGAGTACTAGTGATGCTTTGCTGCAGCGTTACAGTTTCCGACACCTTCTTTTTATAACTCGGCTCTGTCCCCCTTCCACTCGACCTGTCAAAACCACGCCTATGGAGCCTCACAATTGGTCCGAAAGCGTCAAAGAGCCAATCAAGGAGGCTCCAGCTCCCTTGTAACCCACAACACATCCATACAATCTGGTGCACGCAGAGCACAGACTCACAGGGAATTCTCAGAGCTGAGAGGCTCCTTCTCCCTCTCTCCCTCTCTTTCTCTTTTCCTCTCTTTCTCTTCCCCCCCCCCCCCCCCTTCCTTTCTCTTTCCCTCTCTTTCTCCCTCTCTCCTTTGCTGGAGCGCTGCTGGAGAGGAGACAGGAGTATAATTATTCCAGATTTTTTTATTTTTAAGGTAGAGTGAAAGAGAAAGAGAAGGGAAAAAAAAAAAAAAAAAGGAAAAGGAAGAGGGTGAAAGAAGAGATCCTGATGGAAATCAGGGCACCCTGACCAGCTCCTTCTTGGAGAGGGGGGAAGGCGAGGCAAAACCGAGATTTCCCTACAAGTTTTTCCTGCTGAAGGTTGCCCAGGAGCCTTCCTCGGCCGGCGAAGGGGGGGTGGGTTTGTTTTCTTCTCTCTGCTTTCCCTCCCTTCCCAGCCTCTGCTCTGCAGCCTGACCGTACGGAGGAAAGGTGGAGGGGTGGGGGGGAGGGGGGGGGGAGAGCCAGCCACCCAAAAAGAAAACCCAGCTTCGAGCCGTCACCCTCCGCCACGAAAGAAGAGACGGGGGATTGAGACTAACAGAAAGAAGAAGAAGAAGAAAAAAAAAGGGGATCTCGGCTTGTCCAGCCCTTCTGCGGCAACAGGAGCAGACAGCGAACCCGGTGGATTTCCACCCCCCCACACACCCCTTCCCTTCTTCGGCGTTTCTTTTCCAGCGCAAGGACTTCCACTCAGGACACACACAAAAAAAGAGGCAAACCGCAGAGACCGAAGGCAAAAAAAGCAGGACTAATAATGAACAATCCTGTTAATCCGCTGTCCCGAGGGCTGGGGATGTGCCCCGGCTCGGGAAGTTGTAGGCTGTAGAAGTTCTGCCTCTCCCCCATGTACTGTGCTGTCTAGAGCTTGTTTCCCCCCACCCTGTATTTTTTTTTTTTTTTTGGTGCTTTCTTGTTGTTATTAATTTTTCTTCTTCATGATGTGCTGTTAGAAACCACTCCGGGACTACTCCAGCAGTAGGAAGACCGAGGAGTGGAGTGGATGAATATACCGATGAGAGATCCAGTAATTCCTGGGACAAGCATGGCTTATCATCCTTTTTTACCGCACCGGGCACCGGACTTTGCCATGAGCGCTGTGTTGGGACATCAACCTCCCTTCTTCCCGGCTCTGGCTTTGCCTCCCAACGGGGCGGCTGCTCTTTCCCTTCCCGGGGCTCTGGCTAAACCCATCATGGATCAGTTAGTGGGGGCTGCAGAGACTGGTATCCCCTTTTCTTCCCTGGGTCACCAGGCAGCAGCCCATCTGAGGCCTTTAAAAACTCTGGAGCCAGAAGAAGAGGTGGAAGATGATCCGAAAGTGCATCTGGAAGCCAAAGAGCTTTGGGAGCAATTCCATAAAAGAGGCACGGAGATGGTGATTACCAAATCGGGAAGGTAGGTCTGGGTCGGGGGTTTGCGTCTTTCTTCTGTTTCCACCCCTCTCCCTCACCCGTCAGTCCCTGAGCACCCCACCAAGCTGCTCCAGAGCAAGGCTCTTTCACCGGCGGCTTTCTCCATAAAACTCCTTTCACCTGGAATTACGTGGAGTTTTAGGCAGCCAGAGATCCGAGCCCAACTCGGGCAGCAACACTGCAGGGAAAGGCTCTGCCACGAACCGGCCCTGCTCAGCGAGAGGGTCCCTTCGTGCTTCAGTAGCTTAATGCTACTTGGGGAAAACTGGGAGCAGAAAGAAAATCACTTGGGGTTGGAAAAGGAGCCGGCCTGATTTCAGCCCTGCTGCACGTAGGTTTTCTTCCTTCAGGAAGAAGAAGGGGGAATGAAGGAAAAATACTTTGGAGCGGCGGCTCGCTGCTGGCGAGGCAGGAGCTGCAGGAGGGCAGATAGGTTCAGTTTATCTGTCGCTTCCCTTATGCCTCTCTCTGCTGGGATCTAGGCGTGCATTTGTGCTGACTAATTCTAGCTGGAAAAGCACAAAAAGCTGCCAAAGGCACGCAGCGGTCCCGGCCCCGTAGCTCTCGTCCCTGCGGTCGTGAAACCTTCTCCCGGGAATGAATGAACCCACCCGGCTCGTCCATGCTTCGCGCTTCTGCCTTTCAGGGCTTTACCCACCTGAAATCCCTCTCTCTATTGACATCTGCTCTCTTTTACAACTCTACCTATCGCAGGGATGACACAGAGGGGGGGAAACCCCCTTTGCACTCTGGTGTTTCTCTAAGGGGCTTTATTAGAAACCTCCAAAACAACTCGCGTGTAATTTGCCAGGAAAATGACTCGAGGAAGCCACTCCTGAAAAGTCTTCTTAGATGGCCTTCTTCTGCCTTGCTGGAGTTGCACCCACTTGCAGGGCACCAGTTGCAGGCTCAGGGGAAAGAAAAACCAAACTAAGAGCAGCAAGGAGGGAAAGACTAAAACCCCCCTCGCCCATTTTACTGCTTTCCCGAAGTTTTCCTGTGTTAATTGTGGTCCAAAAGTTTTTGCGCGAAAGCCTCGGCCGGTGTTCAGCTCTCTTACATGTTCCAAAGTCATGTGTTTCCTTTTGAGATCGCTGAATGCCAACCGCTCGATATAATAAACAGCAAATTTGTGGTATCCTGTTGCACCTCGGAGCCCGGCCGGGTAGCGCGGTGCGGGATGCGGGCAGCCCCCTGCACACCATGGGCTGTCCCCGGCGGGGGGGAGCATCGCAGCCGCCCTGTCCGCCTCAACCGAAGGGGCTGCTTTATTTTCCCTCCTCTTCTGTAAAGTGAAAACATCCCCTCTGCGCTTCCCCACCGGTGGACTGGGTCAGAATCATGCGGAATAGGTATTTTATCGGGGTGCGAGCTGTTCGCATTTCTTTGTTTAGCAGGAAAATAAAGGGAGAGCCGAGAGCCCCAGCTGAGGCTCTGCGGGCTCAGGAGTGGCACGGAGAAGGCGCCTGCAGATTCCTAAGGAACACGAACCTCTCCCTCTCTGCTTCCCATCCCAGGGACCATTTTCTCCTGAAACTTTGAGCCGTTTGAGCAACCGTTTCGCTGTGGGCGGAGGAGGGGGGAGGCTTTTTGCTGCTTCGAGCTGAAGCGATTGCTTGATAGAAGCGCTACGGAGAATCAGGAGCGTCTTTAAACGCTGTAATTAACGATGTTTTATTTTCGTCTTGTCTTTTCTTTACACTCCCCCCCAAACCCCTTCCCTCTCTGCCCATAGGAGAATGTTTCCTCCATTTAAAGTGAGATGCACTGGACTGGATAAAAAGGCCAAGTACATTTTATTGATGGATATTGTGGCGGCGGATGATTGTAGGTACAAATTCCATAATTCCCGGTGGATGGTAGCCGGGAAAGCTGACCCTGAAATGCCAAAGAGAATGTACATCCACCCGGACAGCCCGGCCACCGGCGAACAATGGATGTCCAAAGTCGTCACCTTTCACAAGCTGAAGCTCACTAACAACATCTCTGACAAGCACGGATTTGTAAGTGCATTTTCCCCTTTGCTTTGCCCCCTCCTTACCTCCGGACCCCCTGCTCCAGCCAGAGCTGGGCCTGCAGCTCCCGTGGCAGGGAAATAGGGAATAACGCGCTTCGGCCTGGTTTACAGCAGTCCCTCATTTTTAGTGCTCCTGATGTCAGGGTGAAACGCTCGAGTTTATTATGTATCCTCTCCGTGCCATTCAGCATTAACTTTAGAGTGGTATATTCCCAGCACAGAGCAACTGGGTATTTGTTAGAGCTGTGGTGACTTTCTGTATCTATTTTATTTTATTTAATAAAGTCGATCACGCTTTTTAAGCATAGGAAAATGATATGTGTGTGTGTATAAAGGGCTTAAAGGCCTAAGTATGCAAACATTTAAATATATATTAATCTGGATAATGTAAAGCAAGCCGGAGTGAAAATAAACAGGGACCAAAATCAGAGGTCAAGTTGCCCATTCATGTCTATCCACTCCTTTACATTTACCGGGTGTGCAGAGATAAAAACTTACCCTAAGAGTGAAATCAAACAAACCTGCTGATAAGTGCTCTGACGATCCTTGCCATTTCTTTCTGTTCCTGGGCAAGCCTCCGCCTCGGAGCCGGGGGTTGCTGGTGGTGACCGCGGTCGGGGGATCTCTAATGTGCCGAAGATTGCATTTGCTGGCTGTGATTTGATTAGACGATACATTTTTGCCTTTCGCAGAAGGCCTTAAGTGGATTGGGGCGAGCAATTAGACCTAGTCAAGGCTCTCGCGGTTGTGTTGCTCTTGTAGCTGCTGCTGCTTTTTCACTTGGGTTTAATTTTTATTTCGTTTTTAGTTTCTTTCACTTCGAAATCAAAGCACTTTGCGGCCCGACCCGAGGCAGTTTTCTCCCCCTCTCCTAGGAGAGCTATGCTGGGATTTTTCCCCCTCTTTCCCCCTCCGAAAGGGCCAGCGGTTGAGCCTAACTCCGGCGAGCTGGAGCTGTCAGTGCTTTTTGTTGGCTGCTGCAAGGCGTGTGCGTGTGTTTGGAGTGTGCTCGGCGGGGAGGAGGAGTGAGTGGAGGAAGGAGAGGGAAGGCAAATTAGGAGGAGAAAGTGCCGGTGGCTGGGGGGGAAGTGCGAGGCGGGGGTGCTTGCTCCTGATGACCGTCTTCTTCCCCCCCCTTTCTCCGCTCTCTGCTGCCGGCCGCTGCTCCCCCACCCCCAGACCATTTTAAACTCGATGCACAAGTACCAGCCCCGGTTCCACATCGTCCGAGCCAACGATATTCTCAAGCTTCCCTATAGCACGTTCAGGACCTACGTTTTCCCGGAGACTGAATTCATCGCAGTGACCGCATACCAGAATGATAAGGTAAGGAGATTAAGAATGGATTTGTTTTACGTGCTTTGGCTTTTGAGAGAACTTTTACTCTGCATTGTTCCCTTAAAAATCGCGAAGCCCATCCCGCTCTTCTCCCTCCCCCCCCCCCCCATCCTCTCCTCGTCTTTCCCCCCCAAATCTCCTGGATCCAACTTCAGGAAGGAGCCGGGGGAGGGGGTCGGGCACCCTCCTAGTACTGACCTCGGGGAAGGCAATTAAAAGGGACGTCTGGGGGGTTGGGGAGGCCGTTTAGGGCTCTTAACCTTTTCATTTCACCGGTACCACTCCCCGGTATGTGGAAAGAGGTAGGATGGGGTGGGGGATCGCGATCGCTGCTCTCGGTGTGAATTTAATCTAAAATGCATCAGAAAAGGAAAAAAAAACAGGGAAAAAAGAGGATCAGCGCCGTGTGTCGAAAGACAGAGGGGGAGAGCAGCGGGGCTGGAGATTTTGTAATTCTTCCTGGCCTTTGTGCTGTTTTAGCTCCTTTAACAGCAATTGGCAATAAGGCTGGAGCGCACGTCTGGTTCCTATTATTATTATATTATGATTTTTTTTTTCTTTCTTGCATCCTGCAGTGTTTTATTATTTTTTGTGGTGCAGAAATATGCTCTGATCAGAGAGGGCTATATCTCGCTCGAATTTAGCTGCGAGGTCTGAAAGAGCCAGTGTGAGAAAGTTTTGCAGTGCTGCGGACGCTGCCTTCCCGTTTCTGCTGGTTTATTGTCGCTTGCGACCAAGGTGGTATATCTGGGAGAGTGGCAAATGGTGAATTTATGATAATTAAGTCAAGTGGAAGGAAGGGAAAGAGCCAAAAAAGGGGCTTTGATATTTTTTTTCTCCCTCCTCTCTATAAATTATAACTTTGCACGCGTATGCATTAAGCGCGGAGGGTCTGGATGTGCAGCGCCCACTCGCTGCAGCTTCCCGTCCCTCTCTCTCGCTGTCCCTTCACATCCTTCACTATTAAGGAGTGAAAAGGGGCGACTCCATCCCTTCTGCCCTCCGTTTCCCAAAAGCCGCTTCTCCCTCGGGGGCTCGGGTTATTTTCCTCTATTTCTGCGGTCGGGCGCTTGCAAGGAAATGGAAAGAAAATGTGTGTACAGAGAGTAGACTTTGCTTTGGGACTTATCAGCAGGGCTGTTCGCCCCGCTCTGTCAGCTGGGGCCGGCTTGGTTGAAGGACCGGAATGAGCATACTTGTCTGATTGCCATGAAATCGCCCGGAAAGCGACGGGCGGGAGTGGAGGGAGCCCTCGCCGGCCCGTCGGAAGGCACGGCCGGGATCACCTGGATTAAAACTCCTGCTGGGTTTTAGCAGTGGGTTTTCCTGCTCTTTGCTGATCGCGGCTGGAAGCAGGGGGTGAGGGGGTGGTGGTAACGCGGTGGCCGGTGCCGGTCCTGCCCTGTGCTCAGCTGCAGACAGGGATTTGCTTTTCCGTGTCCTGCTCTGCCCTCAAACTGGGGGGACTGCGGCACTTCCAGCCCGGTCCGGGACAGGGAGTGGAGCATCCCGGCTCCCGTTGTCCTTATCCCATTATAGCCACGGGAGCCCCGGCAGGGCTTTGAATCAGCTTCCGCTCATTGTATGCAGGGGCACGGGGTGTCCTGCACCCCCGCAGTCCCTCCAAACTCATGAAGAAACAGTCGTTCCCTGAATCCCGAGGAAAACCCCAAGCATCCACCGGAAAACTTACGTACTACCAACCCCCTGCCCCCAAAAATCAACTGGCTCCTGGCACCCCCAGCGCCCCAACGCACACACGGAGCATAATGCGATTATATAAAGTATTTTATTATAGCAAGGGGGATGGGGTGGGCATGATTCCTTTGCGGTTTAATTATGGCATTTAAAGAGTTTTAAGCACAGGCATAACTTGCATGGATCGCATTGCACAGCTCAATTAATTCCGATGCGGTGGCAGCAACACGGGGCTCTTTCATTGCCACCGCAGCCCGGGGTCACTGGCCAGCCCTGACAGGGGGTTGGGGATGAGCTGCATCCCCAGGGCTGGGGAAAAGAGAAGTTCACACCAAACCCAGGGATCTCTCCCCCTTCCCGTCCTGCTCCTGCTGGGATCCTGCAGGCGCTGGGGAGAGAGGTCTCTTTGCTGCTGGTTTTTTAACACAAAATCTCCTTATTTCTGCCCCAACCCCCTACCTATTTGTTTTTGTTTCTCTCCATCCTATAGATCACTCAATTAAAAATTGACAACAACCCCTTTGCCAAAGGTTTTCGGGACACCGGCAATGGAAGGAGGGAAAAAAGGTGAGTCTGGATAGATTATATAGAGGCGCCTCATTGGGGTTTTGTGGGTAAAGCTCAGAACTCGAGCAGAGGTCAAAATCACCTCGCCTTGCCTCCAAACCACAAGTCCCCCCGCCAAAATTCATACGGATCTTGGCATTAATCATGCCAAGCTGATTGCATGGGAATTCTTTCCTGCTTTCCATGCGGGTTTTTTGTTTTCATGGCGCAGGGAATGGCTTGCCAAAGGGCTGGTGGATTATTAAGCATATATCACAGGAGAAATAAGTTTTCCTTAGATTTTTGAGAGGGAATATTACATTATAGTATGTGGGACTGGGAAAGAGGGAGAAGGGAGGGCAGAGCTGATTGCCGGCTCAATCTCTGGTGTTTTCCTGGGGACTATATTGAAAAGCCTAATATATGGAGGAGAAACATGCAAATAAACTGTTGTGACAGAGGTATCTCGTGAATATGGAAATAATTAATGATGGAAGAATCTCTGTCTTTTACTGAAGGCAGCAGGATGCAGTTTGTGCCTCAGGTAGACAGATGGACAGGACTCGTTTTAATGGACTCCAGAATTCCATTTTTAATCATGGGGAAAATAGAGAAAGGGATGATTTTTGTTTCCTTTGATTGGGGATACGTCTTTATTTTGTTTTTATTTTAGCCATTTGCACTCAAGTTTCGATAATGAATAAATCTGTTCATTTCTCTTTTTTAACAACCACCCACCCCTTTTCCCCCCCCAAAAAAAAGGGGGCTTGGAAATGTAATGTAAAACAAGAGGCCTTTCTCTTTACCTAGCCCTGAGCCCGGTGCACACATACACACACACACATGCCAGCTCCTTGTGTCCGCCAGTGTGAAAATAGAGCCAACGCTGGAGCCACAGGACGGAAATGATTTCTAATTTCTCTCTAAATATAAATAGATTTTTACTCCGGGTTAATTGTTGGTGAAAAGATTACATAAAGTGCCTAACAAAATAACCACTTCCTAGCAATCTTAGCAACCATTAAGATGGCTCATATCTCTGGAACATCCTTGCCTTTTAAAAGCTAATCTCCAGGGAATGCTTCCCTCTTCCCTGCCTCTTGTCTTTAATATCTGCCTTTGCTGAGGAGTGCTCACTGCTTCCAAGAAATCTCCTCTCATTAGCAGCCAAGGCATTCCCCCCTCGAGGGGACCTTGGCCCTTCATTCCCCTAGTCATCCCCAGATAGGAACTCGTGAGGGATTGGGGAAGGGATGGGGGTCCCTGGGGTGTCCCGGGGTCTGCTCTCCCAGCGGATGCATGTGCCCATAGGAAGCAGCTGACCCTGCAGTCCATGCGGGTGTACGACGAGAGGCAGAAGAAGGAAAACCCCACCTCGGATGAGTCCTCCAACGAGCAGACGGCCTTCAAGTGCTTCGCCCAGTCCTCCTGCCCCGCCGTGCCTGCTGTCGGCACCTCCAGCCTCAAAGGTGAGAGCTGCGGCCCCCGGCTCCCTCCCAAGGAGAGCCTGAGCCCTGGCTCTGTGTGCAGGGGACAGATCCCAGCCTGTACCGCTGCCCTCCAGCACCCACGTTCCTTCATTGCTTCTTTCCTTTATCTTTCCTTCTTTTCTGTTTTCTCTCTTTACTGTCTTCTCTTTCTTCTAGCTTCTTTCTCTTGACCCCTTTTCCTCTCTCTGTCCTTCTTGCTGTTTCCTTCTTTCCTCTTTCTTCTTTCCTCCTTCTTTCCTTCTTTTCCTTTTATCTTTCCCGTTCCCCCTCTTTTCCTCTCTCATTCTCTCTCCCCACTGTTTCTCGCCTTCTCCCTCTCCCCCGGCCTCCCTCTCCCACTGCTGCACGTTCATTCCTCCCCTCCTTGGTTCAGAAAGGAGCCAGCTCCAAGTCAAGGGAGCAAAGACAGACCACGGGGCAAAAGTTCAAAACTGGAGTCACTCCATTAATATTCCTCTCCGAATCTGTTATTAGAGGAAGGATCTTTCCCCTGGATACAGTCCCGAACTTTGCTATAGAAAAGTCACCCTCGATTCCTCCCCGTGCGGTGTTGGGAGCTGTCTGCAGCTCTCTCCCATGTATTAATCCATCCAGGGGTTGGGGGGGGGAGAGCAGGGGGAGGAGGAAACAACCTCTTTTTTGTTGTTGCTTTACTCGTTTGTTTAAAGTCCTGCCGAGAGAAGGGGAGGGGAGCTGGGAGGGGACCCGAAAAGCAAACCAGAGCTTCGCACCTGGGGCGCTGAAACTGGGAGATGAAGTGCAGAGGAATCCAGCGAAGCCGTGCATGCGTTTAGGGAGGAGGAGGAGAAGGAAGGGGGTGATGGAGGCTGCTCTGTGTGCGTGTGTGCACCCGTGTTCAAAGTTTGCCTGTTAAAAAGGCTGAAAACTTGGGAAAAAGTTCTTGGAAGAGGCATCCCCGAGGCCCTCCAGCCTTGCTGGGGGACGGGGCAGACCCTACATCTTCACTGCTTCTCCAGCAGCCAGGAGACTCCTGGGCTGAGGGGGTGCCGATACCCCAGGCAGCCATGCCCCCCCCCAAAACCCTCGGCCTAAGGAGGCCTTCCTTAGGGCCGCTGCTTTGTTTCGCAGCCAGTTTTGCTGCGCTGGGTAAAAACTCGGGCTTGGCTTGGATAGGGCGGGGGGTAGGAGTAGGGGGTGTATTTATTTATGTATAGAATAATAATAAAAGGAAGTATTTACACCTAAATCTCTGGCCGGCCAGGAAGTCTCTCTGCCCCCCTCCCCAGCCCGATGGGGATTTAGGGACGTGCAGCTCCGGATCCCAGCCCCGGGCTCCCTTTGTCTTGCAGATCTCTGTCCCAGCGAGGGAGACAGCGATGCAGACAGCAAAGACGATCCCTTGCTAGAAGCCAACGAGACGAGCAAAATCAGCACGACCACAGCCACCACCTCAGCGCCTGCCAGCTCCGCCGCGGCCGCGGGAGACGACCCCCGGGACAAGGGGGGCAGCCCCTCTAAAAGCCACTTCTTCCCCAGTGACTCAGCGGGGAGTCGGAGCCGAGAGAGGACGGAGAAAGCCCCTCCGGACTCCCGGCACAGCCCGGCTACGATCTCTTCCAGCACCCGGGGGGGAAGCCTGAGCGGCGAGGAACTGAAAAGCCCCCTCAGGGATGGTCCCAAAGTAGATGAGAACCGGCTGCTGGGCAAAGAGCCCTTCGCCCCCCTCACGGTCCAGACCGACAGCACGGCCCACCTGAGCCAGGGACACTTGCAAAACCTCGGCTTCCCCCCTGCCCTGGCCGGCCAGCAGTTCTTCAACCCGCTGGGGAACGGGCATCCGCTGCTGCTGCACCCTGGGCAGTTCGCCATGGGGGGGGCTTTCTCCGGCATGGCCGCCGGGATGGGCCCCCTGCTCGCTACCGTCTCCGGGGCATCCGCCGGTGTCTCGGGACTGGACAACACGGTCATGGCCACAGCAGCAGCCCAGGGACTCTCGGGAGCATCGGCGGCTGCTTTGCCTTTCCATCTGCAGCAGCATGTCCTGGCTTCTCAGGTACGGCACCCCCACCCCGGAGCAGGGGGGCTCCGTCCCGGGGAAAGGGGGGCAGCAGGGCACCAATGTGAACCCCTGGAGCTCTTCCGTTCACACTCTGCCCCCGTTGTCCTCTAGCTCCTGTGACACTGCACCGGGGCTTTTTACCCTCGCCCCCTTGTCTTGGCAGCCCCCCCGGCCCAGCAAGCAGCTCTACGGAGTGAGGCTGCCCCATTGGGGGAAGGGTGGGGTGTGTATGGTTGTACCTGTGGGGCCAGAGCATTTCACCCAGTGAAAGAAAATCTCCCTGCAGAGAAGATGAGGGGAGACAGCATGTCCCTTGTCTGATTTTGCCCCTATTGGGCCACGACCTCCCCACAGAAGGGTCTGCCTCGGGGGTCCGGATGGTTTTGGCCTCGGCACTGGGAAAGGATGGGTCTGCATCCCCTCCCGTGGGCAGCAGCTTGGCCACTGTCAGCTCTCCCAGTGGCGTGTGTGTGTGGCGGGGATGCCGGCGTGGGGGTACCGTGGAGCATCCCCCGAAGGGGGGAGAAGTGCAGGCTCGTAACCCTTTCCCTTCTCTCTCCTCCCCCGTCCCGCAGGGCCTGGCCATGTCTCCCTTTGGAAGCCTCTTCCCCTATCCCTACACCTACATGGCAGCGGCGGCCGCCGCCTCCAGCGCCGCCTCCAGCTCGGTGCACCGGCACCCCTTCCTCAGCGCCGTGCGTCCGCGGCTCCGCTACAGCCCCTACCCGCTGCCCGTGCCCCTGCCCGACGGCAGCAGCCTCCTCACCACCGCCCTGCCCGGCCTGGCCGCCGGCTCCGGCGAGGGGAAAGCGGCTGGGCTGGCCGCCAGCCCCGGCTCCGTGCCCCTGGACTCCGCCTCAGACCTCACCAGCCGCTCGTCCACCCTCTCCTCCGGCTCCGTGTCCCTCTCCCCGAAACTGGGCGCAGACAAGGAGGCGGCCACCAGCGAACTGCAGAACATCCAGCGCTTGGTCAGCGGGCTCGACCCCAAGCAGGACAGATCCCGCAGCGGCTCCCCGTAACCCCCCCCCTCCCTCCCCGCCTTCGGGAGCTCATTTCAAATCAGTCTCGCAGTGCACTTTGTTTGAAAGAAACCACATCCTCCACCCCGCGAGTGTTTGGGTTTTGTTTCGTTTGGGGTTTTTTACCCCCCGCCCCCTTTATTTTGTCTTTTTCTTCCCCTTTATTTTGGTTTTTTTTTTAATATAAAACCCCCCAGTGTTGTGTGCGCGTTTATCAACTAAAAGGTATCTGGTGAAGCAGGGGAAGGGGGTGAGGCGGGGCGGGGGGGGGAGAGAGGGTTAAGGATGGAAGAGTGGAGCCGGGGTGGGAGAGCTGGGTCGGAGGCTGCTCGCAGGGAGCGGCCTGGCTGGGCCGGGTCACCGGTGGGGTTGTGGCATCCTCTTTTCTTTCTTTTTTTTTAATTTTGATTTTTTTAAACTGTGTAAAAACAATCCCGAAACGAACCAAAAACCGGGGGAAAACAAAAAAGAAAAAAAAAACAGGAAAAAACCCCAACCTTAAAGCAAAAATAAAGAAAAAAAAAATCAAACCAAACGTATGGATAAAAAATAAGCAAGAGAAGTGATTCGTTTTTTTTTTTTTTCCCAAAAGAGAAGTGTGTAAGTAACTCGCATATCGGTTCTTCAACAGTTGTTTCCTGGGCGGGTTGTGAACGACAACCCCCTTAGTCAATATTAAGGGAAGCTGTGTGTTTCAAATATCGTTGTGATGCCTGAGAGCCAGCCGGTGGCTGGTTTTGCATGTTCCATAGTAGTCTGCTTTTTCTTTGGGAGGGGGGGTGGTGTGTTATTTTTGATTTCGGTGGGGTTTTGTTTCTTTTTGAATGCTCGTTTCAAATCCCAGGGAAAAAAATATTATTAATAATAATAATTAAAAAAAAACAACAAAAATAAGACCTACCTTAAACCTTTCTCCCTGTAGCAGCAACAATAAGAAGTGTAGTTGGAAAGAGAAAAAGAGGTGAATTTATTTTATCTCCAACCCTCTAGCTTGACTGTAGGTTTATCACAGCTTTCCCTCTTTAATTGTATATGCAATAACAAGGTTTAAACATGCTGAGAAGAAGAAAAGAGCGGACACTATTATTAAAACAAAGTATTTATGTAATTATTTGATAACTCTTGTAAATACGTGGAATATGAATACTCGAAATTAAACTTTAATTTATTGACATTGTACATATCTCTGTAAATACGACTGCAGCCGTCTTCTTTTGTTCCTCTTCTGGTTTTATTTTTAGTCGTTTTCATTTCAAGTTCGTAATTCCTTTAAACATACACCCCGACCCAGAGGAGAAATCCCCCCGTTTCTGAGGGCTCACGTTTTCAATCGGAGTTCACCCCAGCGAACCTGACCTCGTCCTCTTGTAAAGGAGCCGAACGCAAAAGGCAAAGCAGAAACAAGCAAAATTAATCAAAGACCTTTAAAAAAGAAGAAGAAGGAAAGATTAAAAGGAAAGGCGATGTGCCATGGTAGCTTTTAATCCTCGATTTCTTCAGTGTTCAAAGCGCTACTTTCCGTATAGGATATCAACAGAAAGTTATACACACGACAACAGGCTTCTCCAGCGGCTTGAGAGACAGGAAAAAGACGAAGATTCTGAAAGTGTCTTTACTTTGTATTATTTTTTCCCCCATTTCCTTGGTGTGTCTCAAAAGAAAACCCCCAACCAACCCCACGATGGAGTTTTACTACTGTGCTTATCGTTGTCTTTGTTTGAGTGAGTGCATATTTTCTTGGCTTGAAAGTCAGGTGCTCAGAGCTGGTTCAAAGGAAAAACCAAAACTAATGAAGGTATATTTTGTGTTATATAAATGTTGAGAAGTTCTTGCTATTTCTATTTTTTTTTTCTGTATTTTTCCCCCCCTTTTAAAAGTCACTGAAGTTTCAATAAATTTTTATTGAAATGTCTTGGGCGTACTGTGAAATGCCTTCACCCCAACCCTCCCCAACGTGCCTGGGAGGATGGAGGGGTTGAAAGATATATATCCCTCGCCTGCCTTTCTCCTCCATCCCCCATCCCAATATTAAGCTATTTCTCCTGGAAGGAGCTAGTACGAACCAGTCGGGATGGTGTCGTTTGAATTGTTGGTGGGAAAGTACGAGTTTTAAGCAAGCTGTTTAATGTACCTTTTTCTTCCTCATCCCTCTCGCTTTTAAAGTCGATCCAGAGGCTACTCAGTCACCTCTTTTAATGGAACAATATTAAGTGGCGTTTGAAAAGTTAATGAGAAAGGCTCAGCTATGCTTTTATCTGTCATAAATTAATAACGCAAAAGTGAAGAATTAGAGAATCGATCGGTTAAATTTTAATGCAGAGCCCTCCTTGAAAGTTTCCAGGTAAAGTGCTCGGGAGCTGCTGGGCTCGTTTTCCCTGCCGTCCGGGCAGAGGAATTGGCTTTTCCAGTCACTTATCACCTGGAAATCGAGGAGTTTGTTGTTTTTTTCCTCCCTTGGTTTCGCCCCTTCTCGCCCTTGGGCGAGATATGTTGAGATTAAGTAGAAAATAGCTGGAACGGGGGCAGGCATCCAGGCTGGACCAGTGGCCTGGGAGGTCACTGAGAAGAGAACTGAGACCTGGCAGCTCCTGCCTGTATCTTTGCCAGCCCATGAGCACATCCTTTAGCACAACATATATATTTCTCTCTGCTAAAGAGATTCCCCCCCGCCTCCCGTCAACAGTTAGTGGCCCATATATTGGAAAGTGATTCATCCTCCGCCAGTAATAAATATTATAAGGATGTACTTCCAGCCTGTATCCTGTTTGATACTCGGCCCTTGGCCCCTGCACCGGCGAGATAAAGCGAGCTTCGGTGGGGGAAAAAGGAGAGAAAACTCCGATTTTTAACAGGTCCTCAAGCCCCCCCTGCACATCAAATCCAGCTCAAGTCCCCTTCATGAGGGGACGGGACCCTTCCCATTTCAGCTTGGTGGGTGTGTGTATGTTAAACTCGCGGTGCTTGCAGGGGGGGAAAGGTTTGGGCTGAGCGGGTGGCCCATATTGATGGCTACTGGAAGTGCCACCAAGTGCGACTGCAGCTGATGCTCTGGGCCAGGTGGGGTTTTAGGGATAGAGTCTGGTAGAAGAAATAACTCCCTTCCCCATTCAAGGCAGCCAGCCTTCGGCCTGCACCCCACAAGCCGGTTTCCATCGGAGCTGTGCCCCCCCCCCCGGGCTGTACAACCCTCCTCGCTTCGCCTTCAGCCTCCTCCTCCTCTCTCAGCTCTGGCCTCAGGGGCAGCGTAGGGGCATCTTTCCAGTGTTACAGCCCTTTCCAGCCCCTCGCTGCCATTCTTTGGCTTCAGGAGTGATGGGGGAACCCCCCATTCTCTCCCCGCCCCCCAGTTTCTGCCCCCCACAAATCTCTCTTACACAGGGAGAGTGGTTGGAGGGGGGGACGTGTGTTTGCAGTTGACAAATTCGCTTCTGCTGTTCAGAGGAAAGCAAACATCCCCCCCCCCCAGCACCCCTCTCTCTCTTCGCCTTCCCGCCGGCCCTGGAGCCCAGTAGCCGCTCCGCAGCCCCGGGGCACCGCAAACCCGGAGTTTACGATTTATTTCCCTTTATCATTATATTTTTAAAGGCTGAGGGTGCAGCTTGATTGATTTAACCCCCTCCCCCGGGCCTAACGCTGACCTCCCCCTCCCCATGCCCTTGCAAGAAATCCGTGTACCGCAGGTGTAACTCTGACTTGCAAATGGCTTTATCTCTTGTGTATCTTATTTGTATATAGTAACGTTAATGAGTAACTCTTGTGGCGCTTGTGGATGGAGGTAAACAGCGAGCAATCTCTCTGGATTATCCTGTCTATTACTCACCTGGCGCCTGTCTTGATATCCTCAATGGTTTTATGGCTGATGCAGGCGACCCGGAGCTAGTTGGGGGGGGGGGTCCGGCCTCTTGGGAAGGGGGGGGGCTGCGGGGCACCGGCGCCACCTCTCGGGCAGCCCGGGCAGTGCGGAGCGGACCTGGGGCACCCATCGGTAGCTTCGAGGATGGGGGGAAGATGAAGCGGTCCCGTGTCGTTCCCCCCCCTCCATCAGCCCCCCGGTGGGGCTCGCTGTGGGCTTTGCTGGGTTTTAACGCACGGGAGGTTTAGCCCCGAGTCCAAAGTCTCTGGGAAAGCAGGAGAGGAGCGCAGGGCTGGGGCCGCGGGCACCGGTACCGAGCCCCCCCCGCGGGGCCCGGCCGTGCAGGCAGCAGCCACCGTCCTGCCGGGCCACGCTCCGCTATTAGTTAATTATTGATCGATTACAAGTGAAAATTTATGAGCTGTGTCCCGTCCCGTCAGCTCCCCCCCCCGCCATGCTCCAGGCCCCCTCACACGCTCCTGCCCTCTGCAAACACTCCGAGGGAGGCGGGTTGTTGGTTTTGGCCTTGACAGCTTCCAGGAATATGAAATATTGAAGCCTTTCGGTCGCTCTCCCGTACCCTGGACTCCCATTTTTTCTCCCCCCCCCCCCCCCCTTTTCCTTTGTCTTCCCCTTTCTATTCCTGGTCCCAGCTTGAGGGGGGGGGGAATTGTCTCATTGTGGCCGGGCCCCCTCCCCACACGCAGCCAGAGCGCCAGGCCTCGCAGATCAAAGGGACCTCTCCAGCTTCCGCACAAGGGAAGGTGGTGGTGGGGGGGAATAATAAAAGGTTGATTTCTTTAACGATTGGGTTTTTTTCGTAGAAGTCTTGGAAGCTGGGAGCATCCAACCTCCTCCCTCGCCCCGGGCTGCAGGATTGCACCGGGAAACGATTTTGGGAAGGCAGAAAGGGGGGCTGAGGAGAAGGGAAGAAGGGAAAGAAAGAAGGGGGGGGGGCTGGAATCGGAGGAGCTGCTTGAAATTTAGCAGCCGTGTGTCTGCCGGAGCACACATCCCATCCCGGGGGGGAGCGGGCTCTGAGCTGCCCAGGTAGGCAGCGGGACCCGGGCCGTGCACCCCACCAAATGCCGTCACAAGAGCCGGGTCAAAGTGAACCCGCAGCGTCTTGTTGGGGGACCGTTGTGGACGCGCAAAGAGCGCACCCCCCATTTGAGCAGCCCGGTGCGAAGCGGTGACCGGAGCGCGCTGCTCCGCACACGGACACGCAGTGCCCTGGCTGAGGCACGGACAGACGGACGGGCGGATCGGCTGTTTGTTGTCTCGGGAGGGTGAATGGTCTGATGTGGCGATTGCCTTGAGGCGCTGGTGCTTGACGGGGCGGCGACGAGCGGCCGCGCACCCTGCGGGGACAGCCCGCTCCTCCCCGGTCCCTGTCGCCCAGGCCCGGGGTGGGAGGGTGGGAAGACGACGACAGCGGGGGCACCCGGCCGGGCGGATCCGTGCTGGAGGCGCCGGCACGGCGGGGCCGGGGTGAGCTTGGGAAGGGGGGGAAACGGGGCTGGAAAAACACCTCCCTCCTTCGGCACCTACAGCACAGAACCCCCGTCACCGGGGGCACCCCCGAGCCCTCACCCCCGCCCACAGGCTATGCAGGCACATAGAGGGGAACAAACAGCCCCACGCGGAAACATTCCGGCTCGGGTAGCAGCGTGTTATCGGCCTGACCAGCCGAGCTGCCCGCAGTACCCCAACCGAGCACCTGAGCCCCTCGGATTGCGAGCGGGGAGAAAGAGCCACCGGCTCCAGGGAGCCAAGTGTGGGTGGGTGGGTGGGTGATGCATGGGGTTGGTTTGGGGGTTTTCTTCTCTTCCTTTTCCTTTTTTCCCAGCCTCAAACTTCCCACGTGCTTCTCCCCAAACCCCGCTTTATTAGTGAACAATTAAGGCGTGTAAAAACACGGCGAGGCGAAGCCCTTAGCTTGAAGTGGCCGTTCAAGGCGTTATTTATTGTAACTCCTGGCTCCGGTTCCTCGTCCCAACTGAGGCCGGAGCTGCGGGGCTCGGGAGCTGCGTTCCCCTCTCCCGCTGTTTCGGCGGAGCTCAGCCCGCAGCCGCCCCGCACACAGCATCGTTGGGTTTTTCCTTTACCAATGCACTTTTTTTTTGCCATTTATTTACTTTTTTTTCATAATTTAAAAATTTATATTTTTTTAATTATTCTGGAGAAAATACCCCTTTTCCTTAACGCTCTCATCCAAAACAGAGTCCAACCTCCAGCGCAGGTAACCCTGCCATAATTCCTGCGGCATTTCACGTTGGTCTCACTAAACTCAGCTTCCCCCTCACTCCTTTTAAATAAAGCCCTTAATAGAAGGGCACTGAAAAAAGGAAACCAAGCGGGCTGGGCTATGCGGAGCCCGACCCGACCCCCTCCCAGGGCAGCCCCCCTCTGCCCTCCTCTCCCAAGCCCTTTCAAGCTTTATTTCCTTGCAAGACGCCAAAGCGCCGCAGACAAAAATTACGTTAACAAGGAAATTGGCTGGGCTGAAAAAGCCAGGGATGCTTCCCCGCTCCAGACCTGCTCCTTCCTCTGAAGGTACGAGCGGAAGGTGGGCGCCAGCTGAGGAGACTGGGCGGCCGGGCTGGGGCATCCCAGCGGCTGGACTGAGGGCTCGCTGGGATAAGGAACCCTCCCTTAGGTCAGGGAGGAAACTGGAAGGATTTGCCCCAAGCTGTCTTGTAAAGCGCGGAGGAACGTCCCTGATTCCTCTGTGGGGACGAAGGAGGTCCCCTCTTCACCACCACCCCCCCACCGCGCTGTGTGCTCCATGGGAAACACCGGGATCTCGTGGCAGGATTATTTCCATTCTGCGGGGAAACTTTTTCTAGGTTCTCTCACATTTATTTTTCATAGGTTTCTGGAAAATTAATTCCCCCCCCCCCCCAGCTTTCCTTTGCTATCCGTTCATGGCCTTCCCCGCAGATTTTTGTGGGGCGCTTTTTAGCTCCTCTGCTCTTCTAAGTCTTATTTCAGCCGGTTTCCATTTTTCCCGACTCCGAGCGAAAAATAACAAACGGGGAGATAAAAAAAGCCCCAAA